TGTATTTGAAGACAGACTTTACACATATATATATCCTTCAATAAATGACCTAGCTACGACTATATGGATAAGCTCAAACAGTACAATAGCTGGAAAGTAGACAAAATCAGTTAAAGAAGAAAAAGCCAAAAATTTAAAAAATTTCGAATGCATGGATCTGCATGGCCAAAGCTGACGTGGCTTTAACTTCTGTGTTGACTATTCTTCATGGCTTGCGTGGATTTTGAGCTCATGCTAACAGGAGAATTATGCAAAATGCTCTCACTGTCAGCAACAACTTGGCCAAAAGAGGAATGGAGGTTGACATTATTTGTAGAAGCTGTGGAGATAAGCCAGAGACCATTGAACACCTCTTCCTCACCTGTCCTAGAGCTCAAGAAATATGGAAACCTGTAACCTGGGATGGTCTGAGCAATGAAACTGACAACTTCCAAGCTTGGTGGATGAAAATCTGCTCCCTCAACAAAAACCCCACCTCAGAATTTAGAATCCAACTCTCAACATATATATTATGGTGGATTTGGAAGGCTATAAATCTTTGGATCTTCAAGCAATCTTTGGATCCAACACTCCCTATCCTCTTCCTTAACTCAGTTGTCTTTTTTGCTCCTAGTTTTTCTTTTCTCATGTCTTTTGTTATGATGTCCTTGTTCTTTTGTAGAAGTTCTACTAGGCCCTTCGGTGCAGTGGTAGTCCTTCCTTTTGCTAGGCCAGTATATATGCTTTTGCTAGGCCCCAAAATGAAGTCTCAAACTCTTGGTCTCAGCCTCATTGAGTCTGCCAATGTTTGAACCTCATTTTGGATTCTTTTGCTATTTTAGATCACCTACGGGTGTATTATTTTATCCCTTGTGCATCCTTTATTCGGGCTAGTTAGCCTGTCGATTTTTAAGTACCTTTTTTTGAGTGCAATATAAATTCTATCGTTTCTAAAAAAAAAAAGATGTGCAGTAGGTGAAGACGTACCTGGTAGCAAAACACATTTGAAAATACCAAAAAGTCATAGGGGCTAATCAATGGAGCAATTTATATATTTATTAATAAAAAAATAATAGGTGGACAAAAAACAAAAAAAAAAAAAA